TACAGGAGCTGTTTTCTTCAAAGGTGCATCACAGCTTTCACAACGGTAACATCTGCGTATAGCTATTACCACTATGGCCGAAAAACAGTTCAGGTGATAAATAACAAATGAAGTATTCTTGGGAGGACCTGGCAGCATGGTTTGCTGTACTGAAGAAGATGGTTGTAATGCAACTGGGTTTGTGAAAAAGAGCTTTGTTTTTCTGCTTGAACCATGGCATCGCAGTGAAATGAAGTTTGAACGTGTATTGTGTGTATATATAGAGACTTTTCAATGTATTTTTAATTTGTTTAAAGATAAGGTTCTTTATAAAAACAAATAAATAATGTTCTTAAACACATGGGTTACTAATTGCTGCCATACACATCTTTAATAATTTTATATTGTTTTTGAAGTCAGAAATATGCACTTCTCACCAGCGTTTTTGGCATCTTCGTATAATACACTGACTAGATCCGAGAAGAAAAAGCAATTGTAAGAATGTGTCTTTGTACCTCAACCTAAGTCAATAAAGTAGCTTTCCTTATTAGGATTTATGACATATTTCAGCCTGCAGCAGAACAAACAATGTGATCAAACAGAATCTTCAAAAGTCTAAATAGGAGTGATAGCAAACACGGTGTTTCATTTTCTGGGGTAATTTGGCAGGTGCTGAAGAATTACTTCTCTCCCCTGTCCCTTTTATTTTTTTTTCCTGTTTGTTTTTTATGCAAGCAAATGTTAACTGTACTCAGCAGAGAAGAGTTTTGAGTCTCAGAATGGCCAGCTGTGCACTGAGCAGTCTATCCAAACAAAGTGGGCATGGAGTTCTGTTTCTCATTACAAATGATATCTACTGATTGAAACAAGGTGCATCTCCCATGTCCACAGTTGCTTGAGCTGGGACCTTTTGATGTTTGGCATTGACCCCCGTGATCATTCTTGCCTGCTATGGAGGCAGCACAAGCCAGTTAAAATGGAAAGCCACTAGAGAGTTTATATTTTGCTTCTGATTAATATTCACTGCATTTCTGGTTACTCATCCACTTCCATTATTTCTTCTGTTTCCATTCGAACTTTCAGTTACAGTTTCCCTTTAACTGCTGGTCACATTTCATTTTTTTCTGCTTCTGCTTATGTAGCAGCCCCCTTCTTTCCACTTTTAGTGACTTTCTGCCTGCATTGTAGACTTATGCTTCAGGAGCAGCTGTCTTTGAAAGTTCCTACTTCTTATCACACTTTTGTTCAATTTCTGGCTACGCTTTTATTTTGATTTCCAGATATGGTACCACCCCCACCTCCCCCATTGCATTTCTACTTCCAGTTACAATTTTACTTCTAGTTACAATTACATTTCTGATTTGACTTCTGGTTCACCTTCCTTTTCCACTTCTGGTCACATTTTTCCTTAGCAGTTCTCTTTTGCCTCAGAAGCAAACCTCTTCTTTGATTTTGTCTATTTAACTTCTGATCTCATTTTGTTCAACTTCTGTTTCCACATGTGGATACGGTTTTGCTTACAATTCCAGTTTCTTCCCTTTTCCACTTTTACTTCTGGTTCCATTTTTACTTAGCCTTGGTATAAGCGCTCTTCTTTGAAGTAAAAGCATGACTGAAACCAGAAGTGGAACTAGAAGTATATGAGAAACTGGCAATGGAAGTAGACCCAGAAGTGAATGCTAAAGTGGGATCAAAAGTAGAAGTGAAAGCAGAAGAGGATTTAGAACTGGAAGCGGGGGTATAACCAAGAGTATAACCAGAAGTGGAAGTGGATGGAGAATCAGAAGTGAAACAGAATTTTGATCAGGAGTGAAATAGGAACTTTCAAAGAAGATAGCTGCTGCAGAGGCAGAATAATGATAGGAGGGTAGAAGGCAGCTGGTAGGATCCACCTCACTGTGCCAGCCTGCCCTGCCCTGGTATGGCTTCGGTTGGAAATGGTTGGCCTGGGATGGGTTGGCTCAGATCAGGGCAGCTTGACCCAGCACAGGGCATGTTGGGTTGGGTCAGCCTGGCACGATTAGAATAGCACAGTTGGCACAGATTGGCTTGATACTGTAAGCTGCTTGATCATGAAACGCTCTTAAGTCTCAAATTGGACTGTTTGGAAGAAGGCATTCTTTATTCTTGGCACTAGATGCACAGGGGGATCCTTCCACCTAATTGCACATCCCTGATACAAAAGATCTTTCTTACGCAGAGGTTTTCCCGAGCAGTACGTGCATGTTCAATACCTCCCCCTGGATCATTAACATGGGCTTCTGCTTCCTTGTACGTGTTCAGTCTTTTTGTGGTGGTGGTTCTGGCACCTTACTGTGTTTGCTCATTGAACTCTGTATGGGAACTGTTAGGTCGTGGCAGTGATTGAACGTCTGTTGTAGAGGCGTGGCTAGGCGTAGGAGCACAGGTGCAAGCAATTAATCCACCTGTGAGACTGGATCCATCCCTCCCTAACCTCACTTAAGTGCCAGCAGCTGAGAAAGAAACACCTCTATTTGGAGATTGCTCCCCTCTGGAAGGTTCCGGTGAGCCCTTGCCTTTGAGATGGGGTAATTCCTCATCACAAATAGGCTATTCTGAGGAAAAATCAGCCCCTGTTCCTCAGGAGTAACCTCAGGGAAACCCAGAGGTATCCAGTGCCTGCCTGTCTGCAGCCTTCCTGCGGCAAGTGGAGCTTACTCCCAGCCCAGGTTTTCCTTCCCTTGCTTTCTTTCCGAGAATACAGCTAGGTGGTGCTGCTGCAGCACAGTGTCTGGGCTGGCATGTATTCAGTCTCCGGAGAGATCTAACTCTCACCAGCTAAGTTTTCTGCAAATGCTTGCACAAGACGGTATCTCCCCAGGGAATCCTATGCAAGGTAGGAAAGCTCTCCCTCACACTGTGAAAGGTATAATTCCAATCCTTTTTCCTACCTCAGTCCTTTTTTGCTACAGCCTGGCATGTGCTGTTTGACATTTGACCTTTTGTCCTTGACTCTGCCATTTAGATCTCTGACCTTGATCTGCCATCTTTTGATCTTAGACCTTTGCCTGATTTACTTCTTAAGCTTCTGACACTGACTCAGGTTTTTTGACCTTGGCACCATGACCTTTTCGCATTTTGGCATTTGACCCTTGACGTGGTGACCTTTGAATTCCATCCCATTACTTGTAAGTCAGTGACCTTTTGTCATTTAACTGTGATCCTGGGACCTTTTGACCTTTGGCCTTGTCTCCATGAGCTTCCTTCCCTGCTGTGGAAGCAGTATAAGCCAATGAAAATGGAAAGTCAGTAGAGTGTGTGGATGAGAGGAAAAGTGATGCAATATGCTGCTTTCCTCTCAGCACAGAATCACAGAATGGTTTGTGTTGGAAGGGACCTTTAAGACCACCTCATTCCAACCTTGCTATAGCAGGGACGCCTCCCTCTGACCAGGCTGCTCACAGCCCCATCCAGCCTGGCCTTTGAACGCCTGCAGGGAGGAGCATCCACAGCCTCTGGGCAGCCTGTGCCAGCATCTCACCACCCTCACAATAAAAAATGTCCTCCTAATATCTAGTCTAAATCCACCCTCTTCCAGTTTATAGCCGTTTCCCCTCACACCGTAGCTATGTGACCTTATGAAAGTCCCTTCCCACTTTCCTGTAGGCCCTTTCAGGCACTGAAAGGCTGCTCTCAGGTCCCCCCAGAGCCTTCTCTTCTCCAGGCTGAAGAGCCTCAACTCTGTCAACCTGTCCCGGTAGGGGAGGTGCTCCAGCTCTCATGTCTCAGAACAGATGTTAAGCAGGAGCTTCCTGGCTCATTTTCCCCAGAACCTCTTCACTAGTTTCGTTTTTTAAGTCGTATTTATTTTAGATGGTCTGGAAACTGCCTGTACACTTGAGGGTCAGCGTGTGAAGGACCTCAATGGGAGACCTGTGTGACGCAGGCTATAGGGCAGCAGATGGGGTCAACCCGGGCTTCACATCCTGCGGCTTTGCATACTATCAAGGCTGCTGTGTCTCCAGAACACACGGCACAGCTCTCCTCTTCCCGCCGTGGTTGCGGGGCGCGCGGCGCTGCACGGCTGCAGCCCGCGAGGTGGCGCCGCAGCACCGCCGCTGCTCCCGCGGCGTCACGCGGAGCTCCCGCTGGGCTGGCAGCCTCGGTCCTCCTCCACAGTGCTCTGATTCTCCCTCGCAAACTCTCTCCAAGGCGTACTGTGACTGCAATATCATTTCTGGGATCGTTTTTTTTCTCCTCTCATGGCTTTATTAGGGTTCATACGCATATTTTAACAGCTTGACTGTAAGGTTTATGAGATTAGCACGTATACAACCTGCGCTATTCCTATTTTGCCCCCAGGTGAGCTCCAGCTGTGGAGATCAATTCCAGGTGATGACTGTCACCATGAACATGTCTGGATTGGTGCTGGTAGGGTCCAGCAGCCCGAGAAGGTTCCTGTGTTTGGGAGGGGGCTGGTTTCCATGTCCTGACCGGTGCGTGCAATGTGCCTGGTGTGGAGTAAAGGGAATGGTCACTGCTGCTCTTGGATAGTGGCATCCAGAAAGGGACTGCTCAGTCAAAATACTCAGTTGCATTTTGGTGGGCTGTCAGCCCTGTGGGACCTCGTCCAAGCAGAACTCCCCAGTTGAGCCTGCAGGTAGCTGACACACCCGGCAGGGACCCCATGCAACCCCACCATGATAACTTCATACCCTCCCCAGAGCCCACCTGCCCAGTGGCACTGGCTCACATATGGGAATGTGACCAGAGTCGTTTCAAAGTGCAAAGGTTGCAGAAAAGCCCGAAGTGAGACAGCACCCCGCCAGCTACAGGGCGGGCTTTGCTCTCACTGCCTCAGCAGCGCAGGGATGGCCACACTGAAGTGAGGACTCCAGTCAGGCCTCTGCTGCCCCATGGGAAGAAATCTCATCTAAATTCAGGCCTGGTAGAGTTTCTCTTGGCTACGTAAAGAGAATGTGTTTCATTCCAGCTGTACAGCAATAGAATATATTTAACTTAAAAAAAAAAAAAAAAAAAAAAAGAGAGAGAGAGAGAAAGAGAGTGAGAGAGAAAAAATCCACAGTATCAAAACACAGCACATCACAACCAGTTGGCAACATCAGTGGACACACAAGCCCTCCTCCATGACTGCAGGGGTCAGGTCAGGCACCAGCACAGAAACAGAATGCAGGCTGAATGTCAGGGCACCAGCACCAACTCCATATAGGGAGCAGATGATGCACACAGGCATCAGTTCCCTCCTCACTAGGGCAGAAGCATACCAAGGGAGTGCTGCTGCCCTTTGGGTGAGTGCAGGGAGAGGTCACAATTACAGATGATGGGGACGAAGGATTGGTGGTAGGTGGCAGGGGCTCCTGCTGGGCTTGTTGCACTGATTCCAGCTCATCTGGTGCCACGGTCACTTGGAATGGTATGCAGGTAGGCTGGAAATGCTGAGTTCCAGATCAGACAATGAATCCCCAAACTGTCTGAAAGTGAACTGTGTGCACAAACACAGAGAAACCTCAGCTGGGAACCACATGCGTGCATTGCCACTGAGCACCTGGGAGAAGCCTCCACTTTGGGCTGGAAGGAACATTAGGTCTGTCTGCATTTATGGCTCTTCTTGGGCCATTCTGAATGCCAGCGTTGACATGTAGAAGGCGTAGTTCAGAAGGAATAGCTCAAAAAAGAAGTGTGTTTGTGAGACAAAGCCCTGTGCAGTGCCCCCATGGTGCTGTGCAGTGGTATGGCGAGAGGAGACTCTGCTGGCTGAGCATGCGCGTGGATCATCCCAAAAAGGAGAGAATGCAACACCAGGATGGAACAAAGCTGCCCCTGAAGAGTATCGGCCCTGTGAGTCTTCATGTGTGGTCTTCCTGGAGGCGGAGCTCTGAGTAAAACATCCCGCAGCACAGAGGCTGTGCCAAGGAGCAGTGTCCAGCAAAAAGTCTGTAGTGAAATGTGTGGCAGCTGATGCACATGGGGAGGAACATGCAGCTTTCTTGGGATTTGGGCAGGACAGCGAGCATTTTCCACAGCCCTTTTTCTGTGATAAGTACAGAACTGACAACACCAACAAATTCATCAACATTTCCACGCTCTCCCCATTGCAGTGCTTCAGCTGCGAAGCTATTTGATGACTCACTACAAATGCAGAAAAGTGTTTGGTTTGGTCTCTACCTGACGGTGCTTCCCGACAAGCAGTGAAGCAGCATTTGAGCCTGGCTGAAACTGTTTCATTGCAGCCCTTTCTGAAAAAAAGCCTGGTTTTCACAATGAGGAAAGAGCAGCAGAAAATAGTTTGTTGATGGCTGATGGTGGCGAAGCAGTTGCAGTCTTCATCAGTTACTACTGCTCTTTAGCTTGCACCTAAAACATTTATTCTCACAAAGTGAAGGATGATATGGAGCCAGCTCAGTGCCACACGCCCAAGTCCAAGTTGGCAGCTGGATTGTGTGCAAGGATCAGCAAGAAGCACGGCCACAGCCTTCTGGTGTTTGCTGCACTATAACTGTGAAGGGAGGCAGAGGGGAATGTTCTGGTGGAAGCATCAGCTGATGTGTCCAGTGAGGAGGGGGTCAGGGCTTTGCTCCTGCAGGCACGAGTGAGACCTCCAGGATGCTGTGTGCTCCTGCAGCAGGGGGGGAATGAAGGTGCTGGGTGATTCCTCTGGCCCTAAAAAAATAATAATGAAAAGCACTGCTTAGGAGAGAGAGCTTCAGAGTAGCATTTATACCTGTGCTTTTGTTGTATTGCTTTTCTCTCCAGTGTGTGAGCTGTGGTTCTCACCCCTGTGCAGGTGGGGATTTTACAGCTCTATCCCATAAATGCCTTCTCTCCTTTGATAAGACCTGCTCATCTCTGCGCGGAAGGGAACTGCAGCCCAGGGGCCATGCTCCAGGGAGATGTGAACTCAGGCTTCAGCACTGTCTGAGCCCTATTGCTGTTCCAGCTGGGCTGCAGTGAGTGGAGTGAAGGAAGGACAGGAGCCTTGGGACACACAGCATATCAGTGGCAGAGCTCAAGCTATCCTGACTCCAGCCCTTAGCTTGTTCCTCCCATACCACACAACTGCTCCTGGACTCCTGCAGCGGTCCCAAAAAGAGCAGTTTTTACTGCAGCAGAGGAGTGGGCACTGAATATTCATATCCTTCTGCAAATGAATTCATCCTTGTGGGCACTGAAACACATTGTTCCTTGATGATACTTGGCTGCTTTCTTGCTGCCCCTGTCTCAAACCTTGGGAAGGGCTTTTGGACCCTAAGGGTTTATCTGGCTGCTTTATAATACCAGGGTAATCCTGAGGAACTTATCTCTTGGCTGTAGAGCAGGCTGCTCTCAGGTCGCTTCTTTCCTAGCACAACTCGCAGCTCATTCATTTGGCATGGATTTCCCAAGCACTGCTGCTGTGCGCAGCATCGAGGTGGGACAGCTGTGCTGCCTTTCCTCCCAAGCACACCCAGCCCCAGATTAACAAGCAGCAGCAGTTGACACCTGTCTTCCTAAGAGCCACTTCACTGCTGCCTGCAGGTGGAGAGGCTTACTGTGAATAGCTGAACCTGTGGAATATCAGTTTACATTTCACCTGAGGACTCTTTCATAAATCCATTTTGTCCTTGTTTGTACCTTATCCTCTTGCTAGTCACATGCCTGAAGAGCCACAAGCACCACAGGATGTGTGATCCCCACGCCCCAGGCACTTACCCTGGGTAGCAGAGCAGAGCCGCAGTGTCAGTCGGTACCGTGGGTTACACTGCAGGGATCCATTTTCAAAGCAAAGAAACATTGCCAGCACATCCCTTCCAGGGGCAGGGGAGGAAAAGCCTTTACAGGAGGAGCTTTTGGTAGCTTGGGGTGCCCTGCCTGCTGCTAGCAGGAGCCTCCTGGGGCCGATGGGGGCAGGTGCTTGCATGGTGCCAATGGACTGAAGGAGGGAACAGCCCAATTCAGTTCAGCAGTACAACACAATTTACAGAGTACACATTTCTCAAGACGTTTGCAATGATATAGCTTTGCCAAGCGTCATAAATACACAGCAGAGGAGGCTGGGCTGAGCCATTTGTTGCCACGAAGCAGTCAAGAATGGCTTCTTGGAGGGGAAAGATTGTACAACTTGTTTGCTTTTACAGACTGTACATGTACCTATTAATAGCTCCTTGGCATTTGATGTTCACAGCTGGTTTTCTTTAACAGCAAGCGAAACAGGAGGCACAATAGCTCTGGCCACTTCCTGCTGGGACAGCAGAGAGTGCAGCATCTCCCACCCCCTTGGTGCCAGTGCCTGACTGGGTGCCACCTTGCCCAGGGGCTCCCCTCCTCTTGGCACCCTCCTCTTCCTCCTCCTTGGCCACCCATCGCTGGCTTGCTGGGGCCAGTCCCAAGGTGCGATGCGCTCGCCCCATCTCTGCTGCTCAGTCAGTGCAAGTCTCCCTCGGGTGCTCGGTACCTCCGCTCCGCTGGACAGGCAGGTGGACCGGGGGCAGGCACAAAACAAAAGGAAGAAGAGAGACAAAGGGTAATGAGAAGGTCCGTGGCCCACAGCTGCCCAAGGAAATCGCTCGCCGTGTTTCTCTGAACATACTTGTCCCAGCCACTACAGCTGCTGTGGGATTCCCTGCTCCTTGGAGCCTGTGAGGAGGGGGGGAAGGGAACATGGTTAGTGCCAGTCCCTAAGGAGGACCCTCAGTGTGGGCCCGCAGCCAGCTGTACCAGGAGCCTGGGGCACCCCTGTGATGAGACCAGGGGCTGCCACCTCCCTGCTGCCCCTTTCCACCGTGGGCACAGCCGCCTGAGCATACAGCCCTGCAGATGCTGGCAGCAGGCACAGTGCCTGGCTTTGCTTCTGTGAGGGGTTCCAGAGTACTGTGGGTACCTGTGGCTACAAAGTAACCTCAGTCCTTCACAGGCTGTTGCTGCCCCATTACCCATTTGCTTTGCTTCGGGCCAGCAGAATGAGGTGCTTTGGTCAGGGCACATCAGCAGTGGGGAAAATTGAGCTTTTCAGTAGCAAATCCAGTGCATGTCACCACCAAGGTGTGCACAAATCACATCTGTAAAGGGCTTGAGTGTCCTGTCCTATTCACCATGGCTTCTTGAGGCCAGGGCCCCACTGCTTGCTGTTTGTGCAGCCTTGCCTTTATTAAGATATGATAGAACTCCCTTCAGGCTTGCCTCTTGGTTTGCAACTGGATGGAAGCCAACTGCAATGGCAGAGCTTTTATCTCTCTTTACATGACCAGAGTAAGCCAAATGAGCTCTTCTATGCTAAATTTAGTTGTTAAAAGACTTATCTGTCTTATGAAATAGTTTATATGGGAAAGCAGCTACCACACTTGTGATGTAACAATTGGTATTTTGTGCAAAGTAGTGCTGTGTGAGTGTGCCTGTGCAGCAATACAGTTGAGGCAGAATTTGGTAAAGCAGACAGCTCCAAGATCAGCATCTGGGCCCCAAATCAACAACTTAACCTCATGTACTTGAAACTGCACTTCTGTAAATCATTGCCAACTTGTGTTTAGAGGCAAGAGGCAACCAATCCGCATACAGATTGTCTTAGCCACAGTCCTAGCGACCTCCCTCAGACTGTGTCCCTGCTCAGGGTTCTCTGAAACCAGAGCAGTGTGGTCCAGGAATGTCCTCAGGGCACCAAAAAACATTTTGACTCAGGTTTGTCTTACAGCCGTAGCAATACACTGACACCTTCCATCCAACACCTTGGTTGGCTGGTTTTCCATGAGAGCTCAGGCATCCTCTGCTGTGGGAGCACCAGGATTTGCGAGCACCTGGCTCTCAGGATGGAGTTGCCAGCTGCAAGCCAGAGACAGTTCCTTCCTGTGCTCCCATGCCCACTGGCACAGCCACAGGACTGACGGAGACAGGCAGACAGACACACAGACGCACAGACACAGCTGGATGTCAGCTGGGAGTGGGCAGCACCTGCCCCAGCCAGGCCTGAACTCCTTCTCCAAGACAGGTGCCGCTGCTGCCCTGGGGTTCAAGGCTGAAGAGGAGGAACAGAAACAAACTTACCTTGTGAAACTTTGATGGTGAACAAAAGGAGGCAAAGGAACATGGAAGAAAGAGAGAGGGAGAAATGTAACTGTAGACAATATATCCAAAACACATGAAGAACCAGAAAAGAATGGATAAATCAGGGCTGTGGAGTGAACAGAGAATGTCTGCTCTACAACTGAACATTCAGACCAGGGCAAAACCTCTTCAAGGCGCTATTTATCTGAGATCTTTGAGTTTGAACTGATTGTTTTTGTTTTGGGTTCTTGTTAAGAGAGCATAGGGGAATCACACACACATAACTGAGAGGGCAGAAGTGGAGTGAGGGCTTCCTTCAAAGGCTGTGCCTTCCTTCTGGGCTGTGTTCATCAGAGGTGCAACAATGCCTGGACAAATACTCCCTGACTTCTGTCTCCTGAGCCAGAAAGGACTCTGGGAGAGCGCAGTGCTGCAGTTGCCCATGAGATATCTGTGAGTTACTGCAGGGAGGTGAGTCCACCTTTTCATTTTTTTTGCAGAAGAATTAGGGGCTTCTTTTCCATCTCCCTTTACTTTCAGATAGCAGGTAAAACAAAGAGCTCTCCCCAGAGCCACGTGTCTGTGTCTGGTAATGTTTTTCACACCATTTCTTCAGTTTGTCAGGGTACCACCTGAATCCTGACCCTGCTGCTTGCCCACACCATCATCCAGTCCTGAATGAAAATACTGAGCAGAACCAGTTTCAGGAGGGGCCTTACAAAACATCTCTCATTGTAGCTTCAATTTCAGAATCAATTAAAGAAAAACGTATTCAGAGAACTGCTCTCAAATCTTTCTCACAGACCATGTCTCTTGGCCTGCTTGGAAAAGTGCTGTGTGACACAACGTCCATGCCTGAAAGTCAATATGTATGTCTGATCTCAATTCACAAAATGAATTCCTCTGCCACAGAAGGGAATGAGGCCAGTTTGACACAGCTTGTTCTTGACAAAACCAGGCTGACTCTCACTTTATTTCTTTTTATTTCCTAAATGCATGCAAGTCATCCATTTGATTACTTGTTCCAGGAACTGAAGTGCACCTGACTGACTTATAATTCCTCTCATTTTCCCCCTCATTAAAGACAGACAGCATGACATTATCCTCAAGGCTTTCCTCTTGGACAAGGCTCCAGCAGGACTCTTCTCTCAGTGGCTGAGAATGAGGGAGCCTTAGGAGGGGGAGAACTGCAACCAGCCTCCTTGGCTGCTGCCCAGCACTCTGCCAACCAACAACACAAGCATGCTTTGCAGCACAGGCTCTGCCTGGAGACTGTCAAAAAGGAACTGATCCTCCACTGCATGGAAATCCAGAGCAAAAGCCCTCCAGCACATTTGTCTGGGATATCACATGCTTAGATTGTCCTTTAGCCCACCAAAAATCCCATCATGGGGATGCACAGACTCAGTCACTTAACGGTGAGGAAAAGCAGAGGTGGGCATTGCTTCAGTATCTTTTAACTCCTCCCCAGCCAAATGCAGACTCAAGTTTCAACAGCTTCCGTTTTATCCCAGCGCAGAACAAATCACAAACAACTTTTTCTCCTTTTAAGCAAACCAAACCCAACCAAAGCAAAGTAGCATAGCAGTATTTTTAGATGAAATGTCTTATTTCTTGCACTTGAAATCTTATTTCATTTTTTAATGACTCTGTTTTGGTGGGGTTTGGTTTTGCTTTGTTTTGTTTCAACATGAAAACAAAGACAAAAAACAAACAAAAACCAAACCCAAAGCATTTCACTTCACTTCACTATGCTGTTTGATACAAGTGAGCACAACTGATCACTTCCGTTTTCTGCTTTGACTGAAAAAACTACATTTTCCTTTATCCTCCATTAACCAAGAATCCTTTACTTATCCATGATTTCCTCTCTGTTGTGAAGAACTTAAAACCTAACTGAGGCAGCGAGAAACTGCTGAGGGCTGCAACTTGTTGGACTGTATAGAGCTGGTTGTCATAAAGCATGTAGGTTCCACTTGCTCTTCTCTTCTAGCAGAGGGAACCAGATAAAGCTGTAATCCCTGATAATCAACCTGGAAAATCAGGTGGAGCCTCCTCACAGTCAGCTCTCTGCTCACCTTCCCTGTTTCTGTGCCATACACAAGCAGGACTGTGGAGAAAGGTAAGCCACAGTTTTAGCTGCGGCTCTTTGAACAGTGCTTGCCACTGCAAAACTGGTTCTGCCAGCAGTGCCCGACATGCTGAAGATGAGCAGCAGAGCAGTAGCACTGGTATGGTGTGTGTAGGTACAAACACTTAATGACCTAATTACAAACAAATTGGGCGGGTTCCTAGAGCCATTCCACTGAAAAGCACCCGTTCACATTTTGTCCTCAGCAGTAGCTCAGGCTACCCCTGACACACGGGTGCATCTGAGATGAAACCTGGCAGCTGGTTTGCTTGGGAAAGTGTAGCGCTGCCTGTGCCCTGAGGAAAGCCTTTTGTTTCACTGGCATTCAAGTTTTTAACAACCAACTTTTGCTCTGTGTGAGGATCACTCTGAACTCAGCCTGCAAACTGAGGCTGGCTCAGAAATCACCAGATGGTTTGGTAAGTGGCTTTAAGCCGCGGGTTTGGCAGCTGAAGATGTGCCTGGTCTCCTGTCGTCCTTTCAGTTTCACTCATTTCATTGTTCTGCAGATCCTGGAAGTTTCCTGAGATCCCCCTTCCTGCTCCAGCAGAGGTCAGCAGAGATGACCACGTGAAGCCCTTTCAAACAAAATGACAAAAGCTGATGCTAAGATATTCTCCTTCAGAAGCAGCTACTTCTATTCTCTGCTGTGTGATTGGAAATGATGCTCCATTTCACACCAGTCGAAGTCTTTAGCAGGTAAAGTGACAGAGTTTGGGTTCTAGAATGGTAATATGTGGTTAACCAGCTGCATGACCTAACTTCAATGAAAGACTCTTCTCCCCCCAGAATAATTTGTCATATCATCAAAGGGCGAAGGAGAGTTCCTTCCAGGAATAGCTCAGCAGTCCAGTTTAGCCTAAGAACTTAATGAAACGTAAAAAAAAATTATCATTGAATAAATGAATCTAGGGGAGATGGAATGTCCTAGAGCATCTCCAGGGCTTTTCTGACAGACTGACACTGTGGGAGAGGTGCAGCTGGGGCCATGAAGGAAAAAGGTCTTTCCTGTTCAAAACCATACACCAGTGCAACCAGGGAGGAAGGGCTCCAGTCAACAGAGCTTGCAGTGCTGAGGTCCTCACCCCTTCTTGTACTTCTAATGTTTTAGACAAGAACAGAAGGTTCTAAACTTCATGGTGAGATGCAAGCATCTCATCCGGACAAGAAACAGGGCAGCCTGGGTATGAATGTCCCTAACAACTCCCACAAGTTTCTTACCAGCTTGCAGAGCCCATCCTGTGACTCTTGCACCCTACAGAGCTGTGTGGAGACTGCAGGGGCATTAGTTGTGTCCTAGCAACATAAGGAAGATGGAATGGATATTGCACTGTACTTACTTGCAAGAATGACCATGTCCATTCCCCAGAATATACTCATAATCCATCCGACCATCACAATTGCTGTCAGGATCTGGATCAATGCAGCAGCAATGTTCAGCCAGAAAACACAGCATATGTGCCTGTCAGGGAGGTCAGTCCGGGCTCCACACAGCACAGTGAAAGCTGATACAAATGTTCCTATGGAGAAAGTAGAAAAAAAACATAGTGAAGCCACAGATTCATGCCAGATTTCTTCCTCTCAACCTCACTTTTCAGAGTGTCTTGCTCCTATTGCTGTAGTGGATCTGCAAACGCTGTACAAGAGGACAAACGGAGGCACATATTTTCTCTACAGAAGCTTTAAAAGGGAAATTTCTACCCAGACTTACAGCACTACTGGCTGTACAAAGCAGTAAATCTCTGACATGTCCATGAAAATTCAGTCTGAGGTATTCTCCTGAATACTTCTCCAGAAGGAGCATACCCAAAGAATGGTGCTGCTGAGGCACTGCAGCTCAGCATAACGCTCCCCTGAGTCACAAACTGATACCTGGAAGTCTTTTAACAGAGTAGAAAAAGCTAAACTGATGTTCAGTACTGAGTGCTGCAGACCCACCAGAGCCAAACTTCCAAAACTTCCTCACACCCTCAAGGTTTCCAAAAACAATTCAAATGAATAATAATGCATGTATGAAAGTAAAAGCTGGGTGGGAGGAGAACACATCAGAAATTACAAAGATTTTCCCTGCATTTAGCCCATTGGATGAGCCTGAACATTTATTTGCAGCTGATGTTCTGTTTCCATGGATAGCTAAGAGTACAGTTTGGGGGAGGACTCATAGTACCCACAGCCAACCTGCAGCAATGCACAGCATCTGCAAAGAACAGAAGAAACTGCTACTGACACCTGTTGTGTATGAGCTGCTAGTCAGGAGATTGCATCATCTGATCTAAGTATGCACTTCAACACTTCTTATCATTATACATTGTCTTTCTATTTTTTTACGTCTGAATACATCATTGCCAAGGTAGGTACGAAGGTGTGTGGTTTGTGCTGGATCACCCAGATCTCTGAACGTTTCTTCGGTGAATATTTGGAATTACATACCTTGCAGAACAACGTCCAGTGGTTTTTAAGAACTTGCCCTTTTCTGTTTGCAAGAGCAGGAGCATGTGAATGATCTTTGAGGTGCAAATGAGTAAGCTCATCTTTGATGTACACCGATGCCTTACTGAACTTTTTGAAGGATGGGATCACTTGGCTTGGATGCATATGGGAGGAAACACTCAGCTGCATCACTCCTGCAGACTGCAGCAGCCAGACAGAGCAGGAGGTTCTGCTTAGGAGCAAAACAATGCTGTCCTGCCCTGCCAGGATGGTAGGACAGATGCTCTCTGCTGCTGCTGTCATCTCAGTGGGTCACAAGGAGAACAGGCAGTTAGCATGGTAGGAAGGCTGCCCACAGCCTATTTTTAATCTCACCATCTTCTGCAGCCTTCAGCTCCAGCATACTCCTAACACCCCACCAGCTCCCCAAACCCACGTGCCTTCTTGCCACCGGTCTCTCATCCTCCCAGCCGCTCAGTGCTGCAGCCGGCACTGCAGCAAGGTGCAGTAGGAAGCAGCCCTGCAACCCAGCGCTGCTGAGCTGGGAAGAACAAAAGGGGAATGGCTTTAATCCCAAAGGATGTTACATCAGCCTCCCTGCTACTTGCTGACAGAGAGGTCTGTTGTTTGCTCGCTGGCTTTGGCAACTTCCCTGTGGGATCTGAGTGACGTGGCTTAGTGGACATGGTGGTCTAAGTTAATTTAGTGCTCTTTCCAACCTTAATGAGTCTATGATCATGATTATCCCAGATCTCTGTCCTGCTTTATTTTCTCTCATAGCTTCTTTAAACTAGAAGGAGGACAGGAATATTCCCCAGCACATCCAAAACAGTTCTCTGCAGAGCTACAATGTAGCACAATCTGGGATTAAATAGGGCAGGATTGAGGCAGAGTCAGGAACTGGACGTTCATGTTTTCCCATCAGGATGCTAAATCTTGCCAAATGGCAATGCATTTCTGTTCTTAAAATGAAAATGAAAATCCCTCTCACCTTAACTTTGCTCTTCTAAGATGTGCTACAAAAAAAGGTTGTAAATGAGCAATAACTCTTAAGAAACAGCTTCAATTCCTTCCAGTGAAGCTTTTAATATTTTACATCATTAGAGTGAGATGCTGAATTAGCTGATGAATCCCTTACATACAGCAGTGACTAAGCTAATAATATCCAATCCCATTCCCAAGGGAAGAAAGCAAAAAAGGCAGATAGGTGTCCATGTCTGGAGGGAGAACTGATACAGAAACTGGGATTTTCTCAGGAACCTTGCCCTCCGGGTTCCCATTCAGACCACTTTCCTGCTCATGGGAGCCAATGCATTTTCTTTACTAGTTATGATTAACTAACATTTGGGAGGTGGTTGGCATTTTTAAATCAAGAATTGAGACAAACCAGCAGATATAAAAAGGAAGCAGCCTTCTTCTAGTCAACATAGTTTCATTCTGAGGAAAAGCATTTTATCTATGTTGCACCAAAGCTGGAGAAAATGCACCTTCCCTAGCCTCAGCTTCACTTCAAAACATGAGGCAGAAGAAAGTCTTAAACATATTTCCCTTCCAGAAACTCTCTTGGCTCCACACTTCCAAATATGGTAGAGTTTCCAACTGGAAGCACATTCTTGAAGACGAGGAAGAGAAGCTGCATCTGCTGATGCTGTGTAACCACACTAGTTAGGGCACCCTGCCTTCACCTTCCTATCCCAGCTGAGGGATACCCACAGCCAGTAACCTAAAAACTCAGTAAGAAATCTGTAACTGGGATTATGTTGGCCAGTTAAACAAGTTATCCAAAAAGATCTCAGGCTATGAATGTAACAAGTGAACACAAACTGCTAAGGCTGCAAGTAAATGAAAACTAAAAGTCTCTACATGAGATAAGTGATATGAAGCATTTCTCATATCTACCCAACAGAAAATAGCCCAAACGCAGTGCAATCTGGCATTACTCTAAACCATGTGCTTTCTCTATTTAGCTCTGAGTAGGAGCTGGCTGCACTAGCAGACGTGGTTTGCTTAGTTCCATGGGTGGGGGACAACAAGATAACTCAGAAACTGAGGTTGTGGGTAGGCTGGAGTTAGGGCCAGGGCTGAACAGAGACACCTAGCACATTTAGAGATTTTTATTTATTATTTATTTTTCTGTATCAGGAGAAAATTCACAATGAGGACAACACACCCTATGGATATCTGCACCAGCAGGGGAAGACAGAAGACCCATGAATTGCTGGTTTTCTGGGTCTTATGCTGAGTAGTAAGTGAATCATGCATTAATACAACCCCTGCGGGGACAGAGGGGGAGATCATGGAGAAAGGACATCACGTGCCACAGAGCAAGTCTGTAAACTTAGCTAAAGGGCATCAAAGCTCATTGCAAGCACTTGGACGAGCCAAACAGCTTGCCTGGAACTAGCAGCCTGTAAGTGCACACAGCTGGGCTGCTGCAGAGATATCAGAGGGAAGTGGGCTTCCATTCTGAAGCAGCTATAGATACCACCAAGAAGAGAAAGATAAATAAGGGTAGCACACACAGCTCCTGCTAGTCAAGCTCCCTACCCCACAGAAGTATGAAGGTTGGAGCTAGGGAGGGGTTAAAGAAATACATTTTCCCTTTCCCTTAAGTTTGGGAGCCATATAAGATCATCTCTTGTATTACTGTGAGGAAACAGGGTGGTAAGTAGCTCTTTTTCTGGCTTCCCAAAGGGAACAAACAGCCCATGTTTTGACTGAGGATCTAGAGCAAGGCTTCAGGATGCGTGCAGCTGCTAGTAAGCACAAGTACAGGGAGGGAGAATAGGGAGAGGAATGGCATCTGAGGTATCTGTGAGAACAATGAAGGCTGCAGGATCGATGGTGGGAGATGTAATTAATGAGTGTGTCTTTTGTGGGGGAGGAGAGATATCTGTATTGTGCCAGGGGAGTGCTCTGTGTGGGGACATGTCTAATGTGCCTTTGAATTTTTTAAGTAAAATGATTATTAGCTGTCATTAAACAATATTGGCAGGTGTATGAGGCAGATGTTGGGGATTTGCTGAAAGAGATACGCTGCTTCTTTCTTGGGTATGCCAGAAAAATAGCACAAAATGAATAATAAGTTTTGCAGTTTGCTTGGTGTTACAGTGACTGTATTATCTACTGTTTGAGATATCTGGGGGTCCTGAGTGGTCTGAACTCATTTTAAACTCCAGTTTGTAAGGAATCGTTTCGGATGGGGAAGCCTCTCATCATTGGTGGCACCAATTAAAATCCTCATCTGTAACCCTCTGGATCATGATGAGGGAAAGGAAGCTATTAAAATCTGCAGCTGTCTGTATAGAAAAGACTGCTCAAACTAATGTACCCGTGGCCTTCTCAGCACTAAGTAACCTGGGAGCACTGAAGCATTCCTGTAGCCACTATGGTCTGTGGTTAGTGTTCAGCCCAGGGTACAGAGATCACCCCATATGCAGCAATTCTTCCCCCATTAGTGGGTGTGGATGGGCTTCTTTTGCTGTCTAAAGAAAGTAGAGGTGGCAAACCTAGATGTGAGGCTGCAGCGTGAATGAAATGTGGGAGTTGCCTGCAATATGACATGTAAACTGAGCGTTTGTCTGTGGGATTGAGTAAGTTCTTCCCCTTGCAATTCATTTCAGCCTTGGAATTAATGCAGTGCTCAATGCAATTATCCCCTTTTCTTCTATAAGTAAAGGTATTTTAGCCAGTACTTCGAAAGCAAGCCTACATGCAGTGAAAAGGGGCTAGAACAGATGGGTGGCTTTCCCAGTTCGAGAGGGGAGAAGAGTGGAACCCATGGACTGCTTAAAATAGTAACAGGTTTGGTCCTAGTCATCAGCTTTTAGAACTGAAAATCCCAATCCAAAATTCACAGGCCAAGTATAATGAACTATGAATAAGTAATGCTGTGGCCATGAGCTGTCACGGGGGAAATGAATGGCCTGAAGACACCTGGTGGCAAAGTGGCTCATTGCAAATACCAGCCTACATGGGCAGCACTGCATGCAGAGCCCAGGCAAGGAAACCAGGAGTGGTGAAGTAGGAGAGGGAGAAGAGGAAAGAGTGGAGGCAGGCAAACGTGACAGAGCCTAGATGTTGCCATGGA